GTATGATGAATTCTACTTGATCCCAAGGTTTTTAAAGCTTATAAAATGTGTTCATGTTATTTCAGCTGGGAAGTCTTGAGGTTCCTTCTGTCTAATTTGAGGATGTGGATTGAAGACTATCGCTTTGATGGGTTCCGCTTTGACGGTGTTACATCTATGTTGTATCACCATCATGGGATTGGTAAGCAGCTTAATCAGCTCTAATCTCAGCAGTCCTGTTGCAGCTGTTGCTGTGGAAATAATGCTATCAGGTTCACTGTTTCTCAGAGTGGGGGGAAAAAGGGTTTTAGAACAGGAGTTAGCAGGGCTCATTGGTAAATTTTAAATTAGGTAGGAGAGGGGGGAAAGGGATAAAACCAGTCTTGCCAGTGATGAGCAATGGGATGGCACACCAAAACTTGAGGAACTCAGCACCAGTGGGATCCTTCAATCTGCCCCATGAGGTGTCTGCTGCAACGAACCACATTTGAAGTGTTTCTACACCTACATACTCAGCAGGAGGAAGAAATGAGGAGCTTGAAGCTTTGACCCAGTCCCAGAGATATGACATCATTGACATAAATGAAGCCTGGTGGGATGAGTCCTGTGCCTGGAGTGTCCTGTTGGATGACAACAGGCTCTTCAGGAGGGATAGGCAGGGTAGAAGAGGCAGGAGGAGGGTGGTGGTATATGTGATGAAGAGGCTGGAATGTATGGAGCTCCCACCTGGCAATGGCACAGTTGAGAGCCCCTGGGTCGTTGAGTCCCTCAAAGGCCAAAAGATCCCTGCAGAGATACAAACTGGAGTGCTGGGCAATCACCAAATCACAAGGACAAGTGCTGGATTCTGCATTTGGGGCAGAACAACCCCTGATATATGTATGTACTGGGGAATGAGATGCTGGAAAGCAGCACTGCAGAAAAGGACCTGGGGGTCCTGGTTGATGGCAAGTTAAATATGAGTCAGCAGTGCCCTGGAAGCCAGGAGGGCCAACTGTGTCCTGGGGGCATCAGGCAAAGCATCACCAGCCAGTCAAGGGAGGGGATTGTCCTGCTCTGCACTGGGGACAGAAGACCTAAGGAATGGCCTGAAGTTGTGCCAGCAGAGGGTTAGGTTGGATATCAGGAAGAGGTTCTTCACCCAGAGAGTGGTTGGGCACTGAACAGGCTCCCCAGGGAAGTGGTCACAGCACCAATCCTGACAGAGCCAAGAAACATTTGGACAGTACTCTCAGGCACAGGGTGGGACTCTTGGGGCTGCCCTGTCAGGGACAGGAGTTGGACGTTGGTGATCCTTGTGGGTCCCTTCCAACTCAGCGTATTCTATAAATGCTCAAAAAAAATCCAGGTTTGCTAAAAGCTTGTTTTGCTGCTCTGCGGATAGATCAGAAATCATCAATAAATGTGGTGCTTATAAAATGGAATATTGCAAAATATCTGTTTTCTAAAAAGAAAGCTGACTGTAGCTTTTAAAACTGTCTTATTAGGCACAGGGTTCAGTGGAGATTACAACGAGTATTTTGGCCTACACGTGGATGAAGATGCTTTGTGCTATCTGATGCTGGCCAATCACATGATTAAGTTCTTGCATCCGGAATGCATAACCATAGCAGAGGTAAGATCAGAATCAACCACCCTCAATAACATTAATATTGATTAGTTTGCTTTGGGATGTGAATTTCTTGTTAATTATCGAGTCACACTTTGGGTACTGAAGAACTGACATGAGCTGAAAACTATTAATTAGTGGACAGACTCTGCCTGGTGGGGAAAAAACAACTCGAATATGTGCTTTGGGAATTTTCTCTGCATTAATAGGTTATTAATTAATGTGGTGATTTCTTTTTCTTTTTTTCCTTCATCACCTTGAACATGTAATGACGTTTGTTTTTATTAGTTTATTTCTTGTGCGTGATAGCCATTTGTCACTAGTGCTTCAGGGTACTAAAAATTAACAACTCTAGTGTAGTTTTGCATATTTTGAATTATATTGGCATAACTCACAATTCCCCTTCAAATTAAATGCAATAAACTTATAAATGTTGAATGTATAGGCTAATTTAAATTTACTATTAAGTTTCTCCAGGTTTCTGAGGGAGTGAATAGACTATCTTACTTGAGTTGAATGAGATCAATTAACTTTTTTGACAGAAAAATATTGTTGGCAAATGGAACTGTTAATAGTATGAAACACCAGAGCATTAAAATTCTATGAATAGGTATGTTTTCATGGATATTTTGTCTTTATCTAAAAGAGAAAAAAACACTGAGGGTTTTTTCTGTTACTATGTTTCAATAATTAATTTTATTTAAAAGAAAAAGTTGGATCTATCTGATAAAAGTAGGGACTATTTGGATTTCTAATAATATTGCATTAGAGATTGAGAGCTTGAGAATTTCCTATTTATTTTCAGAAAACAAAGTACAGCTTAACTTCATTTCTTACCTATGGTAAAGTTTTCTGTTATAGACAATCACTTCTAAAAGCTAAATGAGAAGCTATCAAAAACAGCATCTGGTGAGCAATTACCAGTAAACTTGAGGTGGTTGCATTGGCTTATTTGAAGTGAAATATGTTAATTTTCTAGGTGGTATTAGATCATAAACATTCCTACCAATGACATTTTGGGTTCGGTTGTCTTATGTTACCTAGCCTAAGAGTTTTGGTAGTTTTTTGTTTGTTTGTTTTCTTTAATAAGATGTGTCTTCAGTTTCTCTTGCTTAAGTTGAAAGCTGCTTCTTTTTCACTACATAATTTTCTGCCTTGGGGAGTTGCTACACAAATCATAGAATTGATCAATGTGCTGCATGGTTAAAGGAGAATTTCAGAAGGAGAAACTATCGATATAATTGAAAATTACAAAAGTCAATGAAGAATGACTTTTCTCCAACCACAACTAATTCTAATTTATACCTTAATTAATATAATTGATGATTTTTACAGCTTTTAAATGTTCTGTATATTCACTGTCTTAGTAATTGCGAAGTTTTTAGGTGTTACTGACTATATGCCTTTTTTTTTTTTTCATTTTGATCTTCTAAATCAAGCTGTGATTAAAGTTTCTTATAATGAGAAGAAAAAGTATTAAGTGAAATTACATCATGCCTAAAGTATTAAAAAAGCAAACAGGCGAAAAATCAACTGTGCTTTCTACTGCTGAAGTTTTTGGTTTTATAGGCAGCTCGTTTTCAACCTGGGTCTGAACAAATGCTTAGAAATTAGCTGTTTAATAATAATGACATCACAGAATGGCTTGGTTTGGAAGGGACCTAAAGGATCATTTTGTACCAAACCCCCTGCCATAGCCAAGGACACTTTCCACTGGAACTGGTTGCTCAAAACCCCATCCAACCTGACCTTTAACACTTCCAGAGATGGAGCATCCACTGCTGCTCTGGGCAGCCTGTTCCAGTGCTTCACTACCCTCACAATAAGGAATTTCTTCCTAATATCTTAAATATATTTTCTTTCTCTTTGAAACCATTCTCCTTTGTCCTATCACCACATGCTTTTGCAAAAAGTTCCTCCCCATCTTTCTTGTAGGCTCCCTTGGGTACTGAAAGGCTACAATTAGGTCACCGTGAAGCCTTGTTTTTTTCAGGCTGCACAACCCCAATTGTCTCAGCCTTTCCTCATGGGAGAGATCCTCCTGCCCTCTGATCATCCTCATGTCCCTCTTCTAGACTCTCCAACAGGTCCATGTCCTTCCTGTGACCCCAGAGCTGGAGGCAGCACTGCAGGTGGGGTCTCACCAGAGCAGAGCAGAGGGGCAGAATCCCCTCCTTCCCTGCTGCCCACACTGCTTTGGATGCAGCCCAGGACATGTTTGGTTCCCTGGGCTCCCAGTGCACATGGCTGGGTCATGTCCAGCCTCTCACCCACCAGCACCCCAAGTCCTTCTCAGCAGGGTTGTTCTCCCATCTCTCCATCCCCCCACCTGGGTTGGTGCTGGTGGTTTCCCCAACCCAGACACAGCACCTTGCACTTGAGTCTTGTTAAACCTCAGGAGATTCCCATGGGTCCACCCAGTGGAGACCTTGCTGAAGAGGTGATTCCCATCCAATGCCAGCATGCCTAGTGCCACAAAGGCCACTCCCTTGTCAAAAACGCCGACATTTTGGAGGTGACACCAGCTTGTGGAGTAATTTATTAATAGACCATCTGTTTCTTCCAATGTTGGTACCTTCAACTAGAGTTACAGAGGAGACTATAACTTGTGCCTCATCTTCCCTTACCAGCTTTCCCAAGGCCTTGAAAGCCATTTTGATTGTCCTTGGACTGCATCTTGCTGCCTCATTGCCTCCTACATGAAAGATCAGTAATAGGTGGTAGTCTGAGGGCCACACCAGGTGGAAGATGTACTGAACAAACTAATGCTAAATTTATTAATTTTTTTAATGTTCTGTTAAAATTTGTAGATAGATATAAACAATATTAAATTTAGAATTTTACTTCCTAAAAATCTGGCTTTCAAAATTGTGACTCAGATAGATGTGAGCTGCTTAAATTTCAGGTTTGGACCTTGTCCAGGTAGGCATCATGGCATCAGAGAAAAAGGCTTTTGTTTCGTATCATCCTGTCCTGTATAACTCAGAGACCATTAATCTGTTTTTATCCTTTCTGACTGATTCAGGAGAGCTACTGAACTTCCTTTTATCACATCAGAAAACTGGGAAGGAATTTCCGCTTCATTATTTGGTTTTTACAGCTGTGTGGAATGTGGATGCAGTTTTCTGTGTGATCTAATGATCTGGTGACTAAAGGGGGATAATCCCTGGCTTTGATCTCCTGGCTTTGCTGTTCAGGCAGCCCAGGACGCTGCTGGCCATCCCAGCTGCCAGGGCATCCTTCTGGCTCATGCTCAGCTTGCTGTTGGCCCAGAGCCCCAGGGCCTTCCCAGCAGAGCTGTTCCCCAGCCTGGCTGACCCAGCCTGCACCCATCCTAGGGACAGGATTTGGCAATTGCCCTTGGTGACGTTCCTGAGCTTTCTGTTGATTGATTCCTCCAGCCGGTCAGGGTCCCTCTGGATGGCAACCCTGTGTTCCACCCCTGGGATGCCATCCACGAGCTCCATGGTGATGTGGTTGATCTCCTCACTTATGTCAGTGTGTGTGTGTGTGTATATAACTACAGATATCTTTTTCACTAGTCCTATGCAGCAACTGGATGGAAAAAAACTGGATTGAATCCAGAAAAACAGAATGAGCTTCCTAATTAGGCCCTGGTTCCAGTCAGTATTTAATTCCATAAATTCTCTTGTGTAGATGCAAGACGTGTATGATAATCCATAACCTTTGTCAGTGAGAAGTCGTTCCACCACATAAGTTAATAACAATGAGTAATGATGGATATTTTGTAATTATTGGAGAATTGCACTTTCTGTCCAGATAAGCTTACTTTAGAAAGAGAATGCTGTGCGATAAAAATTGCCTCAGAACATGGTGAAATAAATATTTTGAGAACTCAGAATTACAAATTTAAGAATGGTCAACTTCCATCAACATGAAGATGAAAAATTATGCAAAGATCATGTCACTTTCCAGGACTAGCTTGATCAATAATTCTGGTTTTGCACAGTGGGGAAATAATAGGGATCATATTTTACTTCCTTACTGTACTTAATATTTAGCCTTTTTTTCATGCCATTCTTTATGCAAAATATCAATAAAAAAAATGAAGGTTTAATTTGTCTTTTGTTGACTACTTTGTACTTTCTATTGATTACATGGAGCTCAAGAGAGCTAATTATTTCAAACTCTGCATATACCGGGATCTATTCCTCTTGAAATATCTACTCTATAAAGTATTTTGAGGTAGAGTATTTGATGAGAAGTCATAATGCTTTTCCCTGTAACTTTTGCATTCAAACAACAAATCTGGGTGTAGTGTTCACTGATTTTTATTTGTTTCAATCTCCCTTAACCAGGTGAGTCTGTGAGGCTGTTTATAGGGTTGTGTTTAGAGAGTGTTTCTATACAAGTATTGCTGTATGATAGAAAACACGAACTAGTAATTGAAATGCCATAGAAATTATGCTGAGGATGTGGGGGTTTTTTTATCTATTTAAGGATGTTTCTGGAATGCCAGCACTTTGTCGTCCTGTCGAAGAGGGAGGAGGGGGCTTTGATTATCGACTGGCCATGGCTATCCCAGACAAGTGGATACAGGTGAGAAAGAACTCCTTCAAAAACACATTCTTCTCTTCAGAGTGGCGTGTTTTTCTGTCTGTGAGCACACACAGACACTTCCAAATCCTCCTGACAAATGTTACTCTCTCTGCTGTTCATGTCCTATTGAAATAAATCCTGACAGGCTTGAGCACAGGTATTAATGGCTGCAGTGAGAGCTGTCAGGTATCATGGAGGTTTTCAGGTGAGGGGCTGGTCTTTTCATTCCAGCTGATATTTGTTTTCTTCATACAATACACATAAACTCAATTTGTTTGAAGTAAACTGTATCTTGCAACAGCTGTAGAATGTTTAATCTGTAAGGAATGGGAACAGGTAGATAATATGTTAACCATATGCATATAAATATTGAAGGATCACCCCAAAAACATGCAACAAACCCTCCTGGCGCTGTGTGTGTTACTTGGAATAGAATATAGAGCTGAAAGTTTTAACCAAAGTAAACCCAAGGGAATTATACAAACACCTGCAATTGGTACAGGGGGGCTTCAGAAAGAATAATAAAAATCTGTAAATGCTCTTCAAGAACAATAATGTACTAATAAACACTGACTACAACAAGGATTTATATCGCATTTTCCTTTCCTTCTTTAATACAGAGAATCACAAAAAAAAGGAATAAAATGCTAAATGATCTAAAAAACTTCCTACTGATATTTTAGAGAAGGTTTTTCAGTTAGAGAGAAGATAACACTCAAATCCCTTGGGCTATCATGATAATCTGAAAACAATAAATGTTTATATTACCTCTAATACTTCAATAAATATAGTGAGTAGATAAAAATAAAAAAACAAATTAACTTATCTTCAGCATCTTTCAATTTTGTAAGTAGGAGGTGGAGGGCCAATTGAAAAAACAGATTTCAGACCTCTTTTCAGAAGATAAACTTGGCAACTTTTCCAGCAGGGACAGCATCCTTGAACTTTGGAATGTGTAATTTACATATTTAGATATTTAGATCCTGGAGCACAGATTTCTATAGCAGCAAGAAATACCTTGAAGTGGGGGGGGAGGGTGTTTGTTTGCAGGGATTTTTGTTGTTGTTTCTCTTTACACCTTCAACTTCCTTGTCACGCTTTAAGATAGGCCAAGGTGAGCAATTTCCCAGGCAGGCAAAATGCAAGTGGCCAAGTTCATATTACATAGGAAAGAAAAACAGACTGTAGAATTTTACAAGTACAAAAAAATTGATAATCTGATTTAGCAATCTCTGCTGTGGTCTGCTTATTTTAATCTGCAATACTTGGATAGGAAAAGTAGTTATGCAGTAAATTCTGTTCTTTAGTGGCAGAAAATCTCACTTCTTTGAGCCTAAACATGTACTTGTCATGGGCCAGGCATGGGATGCTGGTGGGATCAGCTATGATAGTCCAGCCTCTTTCCTAGCAGAACTCCAGTTATTTAGGAATGTGCTAATTGCACAAGAATGTTGTGTGATGTAAGCAGGAGACTTTTAGCTAAGGAAACTGCAAATAAGCAGCCACCATAGAGAACATGGAGTTAGAGAAACAGGTGATGTATTTAGTTGGTTACCACATTTCTTGAGAGGGAAAATAAAGCTGAAATGATTGGGAGAAGTTTAGAATCAGTCTGACAGTTATCAAACTCTCCTGCACTGCTTAATCTCATTTCTCTTCAGTTTTTAAGTATATACCTGTTAACAGTAAGTTTTCTAGGTAACTTTTTAAAATCAGTTTTAAAACTAAAGGATCTCCAAGACTTTCCATGAACTGAATTCTGAGGAATCTGTAAAAGTAAGAAAGATAAACTGTTTGTCATAACAGTGACTGTACTAGTTGAGTTTAAAGATATGAGTAGTACATAATATGATGTTGCATAAAGACCTGCATGTGTTCAGAGCCAGAACTTATGGAATCAGGAAAAAAAAAAAGAAAAAAAAAGAAAAAAAAATACAAAAAACAAGGAGAGGAAAACAAGACTGTTCAGGAGTACATGGGCAGTTAGACTCAGAAAGTTAAATTTTACAGCATGATATTAGCCATCTTGGTGTTATTGCCTCTTTATCACTTTTATTTTTATATCTATATATTTATGTATATGTACTTAAGTTGTAGTGCTCAATGGAGGTCTATAAAGCAGTATTGAAAAAAAAGGGATAACACTGAAATTAAACCAGACTTAGAAGAGGGAGGAAATAATGTCATATGAGGCAGAAAATTCCTATTAATGGGATTTAATTTAAATTGCTGAAAACCAAGAGGTAGCAGCACACAGCCCAGCGGTTAAGATGTATTTGGAAGCTCTCATGTGCCAGGGTTGCATCTCCTGATATTGTGGACCAGGTAGGTGTGTGCCTACGTATTTCTTGCTGGTTTTTGGTGCAGTGCTTTTCTTGCAGGTCCTATCAATCACATTACCTGCTGTATTAGAGGATTCACACGATAGAGGGCAAGTTATGTCCACTCTTCCACATGGAGGTATGGGAGGAACAAAGTATTCTAGTTATTTATGTGGTAGAATTGAAAAGGAAAAAAGAAAATCTCTTTGGATGGGCAGAGAAAGCTCATCACTTCAAAACGGGAACAGGAGAATTTGAATCACTACAGTTCACAATCTACTGGACATTTCTATGTCAAGATAGTGCTACGTGCTTTTAGTTAAAACAGCAATAAATTTGCAGGGATCTTTTTTTTTCCCTGCAGATAATTAAAGAGCTGAAAGATGAAGACTGGAATATGGGCAATATTGTGCATACATTAACAAACAGACGGCATGAAGAAAAGTACATTGCTTATGCAGAGAGTCATGACCAGGTATTTTATCTGTATATTTATTTATAAGAAGTAAAACATGATGTTTATGGGTTTGGGGGGTTTCTTCTTAAAAATGAGGCTGTAGTTGAGAAGGATGGCAAGAATTTGAGATGGGTAGATGTGGACTACTACTCATATTTTGTTTTCATCCTTCACTTTGATGAAGGAGTCCTGCCTGGAGCAGGTGGATAATGTTAGTTTTCAGTTTTGTTTTTAAGAAATGAGTGGTAGCATCTTGTTTTGCCTGTCATAGAGCATAGGAAGGTGAATAATCCATGCTTTTGAAAATCTTGTTTCCATTCAGTAGGCTGGAGCACTGTTTATGATAAGCATGAACAACATCCCAATTTAGAAAATTTGTTCATTGAATCGGTGTTTGTGACTTTTGTGTTCCCTTCATGAAGATCTTTCCTCTCTGGAAGGGTTGCAAACATCCTCTTTTGAGACCTAAAAGAGATATTCTGTAACATTTTGGTTCAAAACACAGTAACAGTAATAGTTCTGTGTATGGAAAAATGAAAAAATAGTGATGAATTTGGGTAACACTCATCTCCCACAATCTTTTTGACAGTTGTTTCTGAAGAGTCAGAAAACATTAGTCGAGAATTGTAAAATTTGGAATTTAAACCTTTTATTAGAAATTAATATATTTTTTAAGTGACTACCTTCAACTTTTTCCTTTACATAGAAGTTGGTATTCTATTTCCTGTACCTCTATAAAAAAGTCAACAGAGGTGTCCAAAACAAAGTCTGTATTTTATTTTAAAAAGAGAATTCTGCATTTATCATTCAGCTTATCCATTTGGTGTTCCTATTTACATTCTAATCTCAGACTCTTAGAGTATTCACTTAAGGCATGAGACAAGAGTCATGATCCTGGTAAAGAGCTCCAGAAATTACTTGGAAATCTATACTATTGCATGATAATTTGCTTTCATCAAAGCTGATTCTTCATCCTAAAGCATGGCATATAACATTACTATTGCTCTTCTATTTTATGCTGATTTTTATTAATTAAGTTGTTTTCTGTAGGACTGTTTTTTGTTTAGAATCTCCTACTTGGGAAAAATCGATTTATTTTTAATTAAAATAAAAAAATGATTGCAGGTATACGTCAGGTTGATACGTGAAAAGCAGGATAGAGAAACAAAATGGGAGTGTAGATAAAATTCAGCCTGCAGATGCTGGAAGTGATGCACATGAGGGTACAATTCTAGTTTCTTATATTTTATAATGGGCTATGAACTGACTATTACCAGTCAGAATCCAAGGGCTCGTTGTTATAAGTTTGTGAAAATAGCAGCTTGAAGCTAATTGCTGTCAAAAAAGCAGATGCAGTCCTGGAATTGTTATAAATAGAATGGAGAACAAAGGGCACAATCAGCATGCCTGGAGATTTCAATGTTTTTGGGTGCCTGTTGACTGTTGGAGGCAGATTTGGTCCTGTGTCTCCAAGGATAAACAGCATATCTGGAAAAAGTGCTGTGAGAGAGTTGGTAAGAAGTTCAGCCAGTGTGGATTGGTTTTCATCAGAAGAAAACTAACTAGGGTAAGATTCTTCAGGGCAGCAAAGTGATCACTGAAGGGAGAAATATATCTGTTAATAAAATTATGGCTGTCATTAAAAAACAAGAATAGGGAACACTTACCTTTTCTTTGAATAGAAAGATTAGGGGATATTAAATGACACGAACAAATGCCACATTCTGAGTCCAGAGAATAGTTGTTCATTGCAGTCTTCAGTCTTGTCATTGCCACGTAGGAATTTTTTTAATTTT